ATACATAAACATACACATTTGTGGTTGGAAATTCGTACCAAGTCCCCGTGGAGAAGTTCCGTAGATTATAATTATCGTAAAGTCATAGATTTTGGTTACAGCCAGACTTTAAGCCAAAACGACACAAAAATATTACAGGGAAATATTCACCATCAAAGAAATTATAAGGTAACGCACAAATTAAGAATAACTAGGGTTCAACAAAATAGTTCCTGCTTATAAAATATTCCATTTAAGTTAGATACTGAATAAGTTTCAAGTGATGTCTGTCTCTAAGTGGTGATTTGTTACATCACAGACAGAGCAATATATAGGCCTGGACAACGACAAAACACATGTATCGCTTGTAACGAAAATATATTGTAACATAAAAAAGGTTTCATAGCTCAGATCTCACAAAATATATGAACGATGTAAAACCTCCCACGACGAGCACTGTTTCGGAAAGGTTAACGTATTCTACGTCATCGAAGACGCATACTTATGTTTCCAGCTGCACACTTGTAGTTTTATGACTTAACCACTAAATTTAATGTTGATAATCGCTTAGCTACACAAGGAAGTCAATATGTTCCACTGAAATCATTATTGTTATCGTAAAAACATCTTTCTATAGCCCCGTCCTCCGGAACACTATTTAGAGTGTTTATCCGTCAAGTGTAAACATGCGATCGTGATATATATAACAGACATAAAATCGTGACAATGACTGAAAAGTGAAAAACGATTCATCATTTACTTTATCTGTCTGATGATTACTTTATCTGTCTGATTGATTACTTTATCTGTCTGATTGATTACTTTATTTATCTGATTGATTACTTTATCTGTCTGATTGATTACTTTACTTATCTGATTGATTACTTTATCTGTCTGATTGATTACTTTATCTGCCTGATTGATTACTTTATCTGTCTGATTGATTACTTTATTTATCTGATCGATTACTTTATTTATCTGATTGATTACTTTACTTATCTGATTGATTACTTTATTTATCTGATTGATTACCTTATGTATCTGATGGATTACTTTATTTATCTGATCGATTACTTTATTTATCTGATCGATTACTTTATTTATCTGATTGATTACTTTATTTATCTGATCGATTACTTTATTTATCTGATTGATTACTTTACTTATCTGATTGATTACTTTATCTGTCTGATTGATTACTTTATCTGCCTGATTGATTACTTTATCTGTCTGATTGATTAATTTATCTGTCTGATTGATTACTTTATTTATCTGATTGATTACTTTATTTATCTGATGGATTACTTTATTTATCTGATTGATTACCTTATTTATCTGATGGATTACTTTATTTATCTGATTGATTACTTTATCTGTCTGATTGATTACTTTATTTATCTGATTGATTACTTTATTTATCTGATTGATTACTTTATCTGTCTGATTGATTACTTTATTTATCTGATTGATTACTTTATCTATCTGATTGATTACTTTATTTATCTGATTGATTACTTTATTTATCTGATTGATTACTTTATCTTCTGATTGATTACTTTATTTATCTGATTGATTACTTTATTTATCTGATTGATTACTTTATTTATCTGATTGATTACTTTATTTATCTGATTGATTACTTTATTTATCTGATTGATTACTTTATTTATCTGATTGATTACTTTATCTGTCTGATTGATTACTTTATTTATCTGATTGATTACTTTATCTGTCTGATTGATTACTTTATTTATCTGATTGATTACTTTATCTGTCTGATTGATTACTTTATCTATCTGATTGATTACTTTATCTGTCTGATTGATTACTTTATCTGTCTGATTGATTACTTTATTTATCTGATTGATTACTTTATCTGTCTGATTGATTACTTTATTTATCTGATTGATTACTTTATCTGTCGGATTGATTACTTTATCTGTCTGATTTATTATTCATTTTGAGGTTATTGCACCTTCGCACCTGGTTTCAAACATTTAATTTCACCATTGTCTGTATCTTCCGCAGTCTTGTGTACAAAAATACTCGGATATTCTGATACCAGTCTTAACAGGATCTATGTAGACATATATATATATATATATATATGCATTGTGATCAAAACTGTATCCTCTTGAATTGGGTACATACAGAAAAAGTCGGTCGTCGCACTTTGTAAAATTTTCACTACATTTTATTTATATACATGAGACATGTGAATCCTCTGTATGTTAATTGAAGTCCAGTAACACGCCGCTTTAATGTATACAACACACACACATATATATAGTAACCCTTAACATAAATATGATTACTAGATTTTGCGAGAAATATTGGGTTTACCAGGACGTATATTACAACATGATTATCAAGTACTAGATGTACACTGTATTTCCCCATTTCCTGCTGTCACACAAATGCAGTTTCCAGTTGAAATCCTCACTTGTATTAAATGAGAAGAGAGGCTATAGAGCGGGTGTTTAAAGTATAAATTTTGTGGACATTATCTCGACATGTGAGTGGCGTTTGTTTGTTTGTTTGTTTTTTTTTATGTAAAACTGTTAGCAAAGTTAACAGCTTTTCAAATTTGAATAACATGTAATCATCATGTATATAATTTTCCACCGCTGCCAGTCTGGATCTTGGGATTGTGTATACCTAATGAGGCATGACCGAAAAACAGTGTAAGTATGAGCAGGCGTTACTATGCCCTTGGTTCTCAAATTAGAAGGTACAGAACACATTACAACAAACCGAATAAGTCTCCAAACATCTCTTTCATTGCATTAAAATGCATTAATTTTATTTACTTAGTTTTATATCTCACCAGTTAAATAGTGACGTATGTAATAAGTTATCAATTTGGAACTAAAACACAAAAATATAAATTGATAGGACCCTAGTACAACAAGCCAATAAAACATTTGTTAATAAAACAACCTGTGTGTGTACGTAGTGACCTCATCTTCAGTTACTTTGTCTAATGTATCCTTCTTTAGCGAAATAGATAAACATTCCGGATTGAGAGTAACCAGTTCAGCATTTTCCGTATTTTCGAACAAATCTATGGACATGCGTTAAACAAAGCGTAGCCGAATTGACTATAATACATTGTTGCAATCTGTGTGCCATTTCGTCACACTATTTTTGACCTTAGTATTCATAAGATTATAGTATAACCGAAAAAGGTTAGTCGATTCCGTACCACTTCGTCCTCTACGTACGTCAGCGCTACATGTAGTGCGTTCCATGTTGGTCATTTGTCTGAGGAAGATGACCGTGTAGTCATCGAAACATCACACTGAAATCTTCTACTGGTTGTGTTATAAGATGAATGTGACCGTGTAGTCATCGAAAAGTCACGCTCTAATCTTCTACTGGTTGTGTTATAAAATGAATGTGACCGTGTAGTCATCGAAACGTCACACTTGAATTTTCTGCTGGTTGTGTTATAAAATAAATGTGACCGTGTAGTCATCGAAACATCACACTGTAATATTCACTGGTTGTGTTATAAGAACTTCTGTTCTAGTCAGCATCCCCAACTTATACATTTAGTTTACATGTCACTATCTATTTGATATTTTCAGACTTTCTCACAGTATCATAATATCGGATATTGATATTGACGCCCACGCATGAGGAATTTTTAAGTTGTGGTTAATATTTTAGACAAAGATGCCTATATGTACTTTTCCGGAGCGTATTTTCCACGTCTTGTACATATTTTTCCGTTGGTATATCCGTTGTAAGTCAGATGTACGATGACCAGATTATGTCGAATTTATCTTCTTGTTTTTTATGAAATAGATGGTGAGTTTACATTTATGGATAAATAGGTATTTTTTCTAAGTAATTTGATAGTTAATATATGAGCTACATTGTCAGATAATCTTTATAAAGAACTGTACATTTGGTAACATATTGTACAAAGACGATTAATTTTGTGATTTACAATAGATGAATTACGCTTGTCTCGGTCGTTAGAACAAATGATAAAATCACTATCCTCCACCTGTATAAGAATATTGTAATTTTACACAGTACACAGAGGATGCTGATATATTTTCAGAGTATATTATCGTGATCACAATAATCTCATACACGAAAATTCGCTGTTAACAATTAGAGAATATATATTTAATGTTGTCTTCATTTATCACAAATACATTTCACAAGAATGTCTAACGTTTTAGTATCTCTCACGAGTGCGCAACACAATTGAAACATATTTGTTATCACTTAAGATATTACATGTAATTTTTAATGTTCTATTTACTATATTTTCACAAGTCACTACTCACTCATCATAACTGGCAAATAGAGTTTTTTTTTCATGACCAAATCAGATGAAAATATTTTTTTATTTTTTTTTTTTTTAAATTCTGTTTACTTCATTAAAAGTAAATATTGATCACATCATCAAATAAATAAATAACCCATAAACAAAATTCTTGTGATCTGTACGTTCGCTTAGTGAAGGTGTGGTTATTGTGATCACGTGATCTAATTTCGATTAGATAGATCATGCTATGTAGGATATTTTTTGACGTATTTTATACAAATATATATATACATATACGTCAAAAAATATCCTTCATCTATCTATCTATCTATCTATCTATCTATCTATCTATCTATCTATCTATCTATCTATATAGGTGGTCGGGTGGCGCAGTGGTAACACACTCGCCTTTCACCTAGCTGACCCGGGTTCGATTTCCGGAACGGACGTGATAAGGTAAGGGGTCACCTGCCCGACCACGTGGGTTTTCCCCGGGTACTCCGGTTTCCTCCCACAATAAGATCCCTCGCGCGCTTACATCCGGGCCAACAAGAGTGATTAGTATAAGTTGACATAACTTGTTTCGCAATTGTTGTAAAATAAATTAAGTTTATATATATAAATATAAACTATATATGTATACATATATATATATATATATATATAAAAAGACTAATGGTGCAAGGGAGATAATCGCATATTTATCTGCAATACCAGGAAGTAAACAAATCCGGTTTTTACTAAAGTTAGCAGGAATGGAGACGATCAGCTTCAATACAAAACCACAGGTAATACAGTATAATTTTCAATTTGTAAGTACAAAAACTGTATACTTCTCAACATTTACTGTGTGATCACTGTTTACAGAAGTGAATTCGCGATCCATTCAGCAAATGTCGGGGCTTGAGTCCTATAATCTATGTTGTCGAAGGTTCCCTTCGCGATACCTATCTGATCAGTTCTTTGGTATATATGTGTTAACTATGAAGTAAAGTTATAAGGTAATCTATATTTAAACTGTATAAGCTACGGACTAATCTTCGAGGGTATTATATGTATAATGTAGGACTACTGTCTCGCAGACAGATTATACTTGCCACTCCTTTTTGAGGTCATCGGGTTTCTTGAAAGTAACAGTTGTAGGTTCATTTAGTACAGCGGCTTGTGTTGTTACGTAAAACTCCTAAGTTGTCTATCAGATCAGACTTACAATATGATGGTCATTGACACCTCATTCCCACACTCGCCTAAAGTCTGTTCAATGTAAGCAAACCGTGTATACAAAGTTGTCACAATAATAAAATTTTACATACATATAGTCAGAGACGTATATATCACATGTGATATATACGTCTCTGATATAGTACATGACATCTCATAACCTTAACACGAGACAGTACACAATGAAAATCATAATGCAGTATTTAATGTCATACGTACATAATAAAATGTTACACAAATTACAAATATTACAGCAATTTCCTTTTATTATAAAATCTAAAACCAATTTAATAGCACTGTTAGAAATGGACAGGTAATACTGTAAAATATAGACATGTAGTACAGGACAGCAGGTAAAAAATAACCGCATTTTTTTCTAGGATACATAAGATTTGCATTAAGTCACAATTGTGCTTGCAATGTGTTTACAATGGGCCCTTTAAATGAATGGGAAAAGTAGATACTTAAAATAAAGAAATCTGGTAAAGGTTCAGATAACACAAAACAAAATCTGTGTGTATAATTATATGTTGTCTAACTGTATCAGTTCTGTCATAAAAATCACTAAGTACAGTATTAATGGCGACGAAGAGTGAAGCTCGAATTTTCGTATCTAGTAACATATTCAGCGTTCTTACAAATGGTGAAGAATCTATGCAGACACTGCAGACGTTTCCACTTTAGATGCTAAAAAAATATACTAACATGTTAACATAATCATAATCCAAACTCGAATTCAATGAAACACGGACAATATATAGACAAAAGAAAAAATTACACGAAGACAAGTAAAAACTACACGGACTATAAGACCAGATGTTCAGGAAGGGTAGGCGTCTGCTGCTTCATCGAAAACACCCGCTGTGTAAATTTTGGTCTATCCGTGTGAGTTCTCAAATGAGAAGGGGGTATACCAGTTCAGCAAAGGAACTAACAGGCAAATTAACAGCATCAAACGAGTGCAGCTTCATATCGTAGAAATAGAATATTTTTCCTAAGAAATGTATCATTTAAGCGAAGTTAGGAATGCATGTAACAAATTTCTAAGTTCACAGACTCCAATGTTTGATGTTAGGCTAAGAATGAAGTGGACCACTATGTTTTGGGTTATCAGTAACCTTTTTGTATAATTTAAAAAGACGCTTATACCTATGGCAGAAGGCATCAAAATGACACTTGTATGAGGGCTAAACATAGAGGCATTTTTCCGGGTTTTGTTGATTTTGTTTTGATCATTTTTGGGATAGACCGTTGCGATTTCTGTAAAGAAACGTAAGTCTAATATTGTCTTTAATCTATCATATAATGCTTCACTTGACTTTCTTTTCTAACCAATCATTATACTTCCAGATCTTCCCAACGATAGTGGTGGTTTATCGTCATCAAGCCAATTATGACAGAATTCAACGACCAAAGTTTTGATGAAATTGTTTCAGGCCGTTTAAGTGAGTAAAAGATATCACTGTCTTTCCATTAGAGGAGTAGTTTACATGAACATTGAATATCAATTTCTGTGACATACCAAAAATAAAAAAAAAAAAGTGTTGTCATTAAACTACTTTTGGGAACCCTAATCAACGAATGTACCTATTAAAGTAGCTGGGTTCTATTTTCTGGATAGGATTTAATCAAGTTGCAGGATTCGACATCAATAAATAATCTTGTATCATATAATATCAAATGATTGGCTGTTTTAAATGCTTTTTGAAGGTGTAGATAATTCATACTCTTGAATAAACTATAAGCTGAGAATTTATGTAATATATGAAATAGATGAAAAAAGAGTCGGTAGAGTGCGGCTTCCTAAAACCAGATTGAAAGTTCATATAATTAATATAATAATGGAATTTGATATAGTCCTGTGAAATTACATAGATATACATAGTTTAAATCAATGTTTATGTTAAAATACATATTTGTGAAATGTGTTTCCTTACTTGTTCATTTACAACTGAAATCATTTTACTCATAAAATTTGGATCATTATTGTCCGCGAAGTAAATCAAGGCAGTTAGTGTTGGTAACTTGATCACATACAAACAAATGGGGTTACCAAATTCTGATGAGACTTTACTTCTTAGTTGTCATAACAGTTCTGTAAAAACGTCAGAGTTAACATCACTATAACATGCAATTACCATATATGTTACAAAACAGATTTAAATGCTGTTTTACTAAAATTTATGTTGAAATTAAATGTACCTTGTTTTGATAAGTAACCACGTGGAGTCCGTGATGGTGTCCATTAGTTGTGGCAGTGTGTTATTGTTGTGGATAGTGCTGTGCTGCATTGCAACTACTCTTCAATCGATTTGTACCCAGGAAGACAACTGTGTGGGGAGTAACCACCGCGATTACTGTAAAGAGAAGAATGGTCTCATAACCAGTAAGCTGATTAAATATATAAAAAGTCAAAGAAACACTAAGAAAATACCAATATGTCAACATAACCATGACCAAACCTCAAATTCAATAATAATAGGGCAAAACAGGAACAAACCAACTCTCGAAAAAGAACGAGGAGAATAAGACCATGTGTTCCGGAATAGTAATGCTCTTTTACTTTCTACTTAATAAAACTGATAATTAATCACTTAAAACATATATTTCGGAACACAATCATTTTAAGATTGGAACTTACTCACTGCGTGTGTCTAATGCCTTTTTATATTTTGTTCATTTCAGAATACCTGCACAAACCTCTTTGTCCCGTGATGGAGGTACAGCTAGGTATTCAGAAATGGATTTATATTCATTGCTGCGATAATCAGTACAACGTTACCAGTAGGAAGTGGTATTTTAAACAACACATTAATAAAAACACGTCGTGGGAACTACTGGATGATAACAATGAAACACTCCCATTGAAAAAACTACGATCATATCGGCTAGGGTTTTACAGATGTATCACCAAGAACGGCAATACCATCATCAAGAATCAAACGTTTCAAATAGTAAATATCAGTAAGTATAATCAAGCAGTATTTAATATCGATCATTATAATGAGTGTAATAGGCCATATCTTATCATCGTGTGGATGTAATATTGATTATATCAATATCATATTGTGAATGAAACAGTGTCTATCATATAACATTGTGATTGAAACATTGTCTATCATAACACATTGTGAATGAAACACCGTCTATTATATCACGATGTGAATGAAACACTGTCTATCATAACACATTGTGAATGAAACACCGTCTATCATATCACGTTGTGATTGAAACACTGTCTATCATATCACGTTGTGAATGAAACACTGTCTATCATAACACATTGTGAATGAAACACTGTCTGTCATATCCCGTTGTGAATGAAACACTGTCTACCATATCACGTTGTGAATGAAACATTGTCTATCATATCACATTGTGAATGAAACACCGTCTATCATATCACATTGTGATTGAAACACTGTTGATCATATCACATTGTGATTGAAACACTGTCTATCATATCACATTGTGAGTGAAACACTGTCTATCATAACACATTGTGATTGAAACACTGTCTATAATATCACATTGTGATTGAAACACTGTCTATCATATAACATTGTGATTGAAACACTTTTATCAACATTCCATTTTGAATGAAATGCTGTCTATCATATCACATTTTATCAACATCCCATTTTTGAATGAAATGCTATCATATTACGTTCTGAATGAAACACTTTTATCAACATCCCATTTTGAATGAAATGCTATCATATTACGTTCTGAATGGAACACTTTTATCAACATCCCATTGTGAATGAAACACTGTCTATCATATCACATTGTGATTGAAACATTGTCTATCATATCACGTTGTGAATGAAACACTGTCTATCATATCACATTGTGATTGAAACACTGTCTATCATATAACATTGTGAATGAAACATTGTCTATCATATCACATTGTGATTGAAACACTGTCTATCATATCACATTGTGAATGAAACACTGTCTATCATATAACATTGTGAATGAAACAGTGTCTCTCATATCACATTGTGATTGAAACATTGTCTATCATATCACATTGTGATTGAAACACTGTCTATCATATCACGTTGTGAATGAAACAGTGTCTATCATATAACATTGTAAATGAAACAGTGTCTATCATATAACATTGTAAATGAAACAGTGTCTCTCATATCACATTGTAAATGAAACACTGTCTCTCATATCACATTATGAATTAAACATTGTCTATCATATCAAATTGTGATTGAAACAGTGTCTCTCATATCACATTGTGAATGAAACACTGTCTATCATATAACATTGTGATTGAAACAGTGTCTCTCATATCACATTGTGATTGAAACACTGTCTATCATATCAAATTGTGATTGAAACACTGTCTATCAATATCACATTGTGAATGAAACACTGTCTCTCATATCACATTATGAATTAAACATTGTCTATCATATCAAATTGTGATTGAAACAGTGTCTCTCATATCACATTGTGAATGAAACACTGTCTATCATATAACATTGTGATTGAAACAGTGTCTCTCATATCACATTGTGATTGAAACACTGTCTATCATATCAAATTGTGATTGAAACACTGTCTATCAATATCACATTGTGAATGAAACACTGTCTCTCATATCACATTATGAATTAAACATTGTCTATCATATCAAATTGTGATTGAAACAGTGTCTCTCATATCACATTGTGAATGAAACACTGTCTATCATATAACATTGTGATTGAAACAGTGTCTCTCATATCACATTGTGATTGAAACACTGTCTATCATATCAAATTGTGATTGAAACACTGTCTATCAATATCACATTGTGAATGAAACACCGTCTTGCATGTAATAAAGTGATTATAACACTTTGTGCGTGTTGTGTGTGTGTGTGTGTGTGTGTGTGTGTGTGTGTGTGTGTGTGTGTGTGTGTGAGAGAGAGAGAGAGAGAGAGGGAGGGGAGGGAGGGAGGGAGAGAGAGAGCCCTTCCGTTTGCTAATATATATATATATATATATATATATATATATATATAATAGAATATTTTTAGCAAATTATTTTTATCTATCCATATATAACACATAGCCATATAGTACTTTAACTGCTGTGGTGGTTACTTTCCAGAATGCAGACAACACTTTGATAAACCAGAGATCAAAGTGCCTACAAATCAATACCTAAAGGTCAATCAACATGATGTCAACTTCCATTTTCATGTAAAATTTGGCTGTGAAGCCAGATCAAGAAATATCAATGTCTACTTCCATAAAGATGGTAACCCTAGGGATACTGAAATGTCAAATATATCAATACATGGATGCGCAAGGTAGGTAACTCAATACATTTTGAATACAAAACGTTTGATATAAACGTATATGAATGACCGAAATACTATAAATGCATAATGATTTTGCGGTTCAAAAATATAATAAATTAGGATTTTTTTATACATTAACACACGTCTCTTATAATTTCTTGCCCGACCAGGAAGTGTTCATTGATCAGCTAAATACAAATTAATTACATTCAGATGAAATATTTTTGTCTAATTACTATCTGAAACCATGCTTTCTGGAAAACAGACAAACAAGGGAAATAACTCTTACACTCTTAATACATTAGCAGCGGAAGTCCTGTGTCACGCAGTTGTGGGAGTAATATTTCTATTCCTGTGGTAACGCCAGCAGTACTGGGTATGGGAGTATCTATCACAGCAACAGCTTGTTACGGAGGCGAAATGAAGGAAATGACGAGAAATTTCTCAATATTCAATGGTACACTTCAATATCTTTTAATCATTGGAAGCAATGTAAATACCACGTGTACATTTTGAATATGTCTTGTTATACAGTTAAAGATTATAAAACTAAAGTCAGACAAGCCTTGTTATCAAATTATGATAAATTGCTGTTTTCAAAATTGTTTATATATTGTTTGATTTGTTAGATTATGATGTTCATTGTATGACAATATACAAAAAATGACGATATAATTTTTTTGTATTTTTTTTTTTTTTTTTTTCACACAGAAATGCAGTATCGAGAAGTGTCTAACCCGGACACCACTGTGACTACCATTTTAATGATAGTAACAGTTACCCTAGTCCCGTTAATTATATATCTATTATTTATATGGATGAAGCTTGATGTCACGATACTATCGGAAATGACTTTTCTTATGCGGATAAACAGTAAGTTTGCGATTATGATAATTTCCTCATTTATCAATTTTGTGACCAAAATCGAAATGCTTGTATTTTTATGTCCTTGTTTGAACCCAATATAGTCATTTTCATGTGTCCTGGTTTGAACCCAATATAGTCATTCCCATGTGTCCTGGTTTGAACCCAATATAGTCATTCTCATGTGTCCTGGTTTGAACCCAATATAGTCATTTTCATGTGTCCTGGTTTGAACCCAATATAGTCATTCTCATGTGTCCTGGTTTGAACCCAATATAGTCATTCTCATGTGTCCTGGTTTGAACCCAAAATATTCATTCTCATTTGTCCTGGTTTTAAGCCAATATAGTCTTTTTCAAACCCAACCTAGATGTATTAACCTAGTAATATGTTAGAACAACAACGGTGATATTCATTATCATGACATGTAACAACACCATTGTTGTTTTTCTATTTTCCTGGTTTTACCTCACATTGGAAGGAATTGATTGATTTGACAATATCATTAAACAGAAATGTAAATGTTTTCCACCTGTTTTTAATAGTTATATACTAAATATATAAAGCAATTATCAATTTAATCTTTTTCTGTATGCATGCTATTCTTTTCTGTTTGTTTTGATGTATCATTTTTATAAAAAAAAAAAAATGGGGTGGGGGGGGGGCATTTTAAATATGATACAGATAAAATATGAAATCAGTTCTCACTGCATATAATAATCATTTCACTAAACATGTGTAACTTAAAATCAACACACTGATGTTTTATCAGACAACAGGAAATGTACTAATGGTGCAACTAAAGTGCACATAGCACACTATGATGAAGATGTTTCTACAGCCAGGCAGCTACAGGAATGGATGGAAAATACATACACTCCATTGCAAATTGTTTGCTCCGGTGATTTTACGGGCGGAGGTAAAATTCCTTCATTCCTATTTTTCATTTGAATTATACTGGCAACTTTTTAGGTCGGCCTGGAGTTGATGTAAATGATGATCATTTTGCACTGTTACCATTTGAATACTTACTCAGGTTAGGGTTCAATGTTTCCCTCGTTTTACGGGCCGGAGCTTTAACGTTAAGCGTTTCCAAACAGATGTAAAAGGCAATTAAACAATCTAAATAATTAAGAATATTCTATCTGGTGAAATTATTGTTCAGCAGATGTTTTCTTTATTTCAATTATAATGGGTGTGGATTTACTGATTGAGTTTAAAAGACAAATGGGAAAAAATGGTAGTAAATCAGAAGAGAAGGTAAAACAACATAAGGGTAGAAATATATTAAAGGAAAAATAAAATGAACAAACAATGCAGAAATAGCATTTCAACTAAACCGTATGAAGAAATCGTAATGGAGATACTTCTAATCATGTAGTCTTTAATACCTAAGCACCTGTTTCAAACGTTTATAAATTATAGAATAAGCACTTGGCGTTGACAGCATGATTTATAGTTTTTTTTTAAAATGAATTACATACCACGAGGAAAGTTTATACGTTTGTAGTACCGACCCAGCAGATTTTTCCCACCGCAGCCAACCAACATAATAACACAAAGGAGATTTATAGACACGTTATTGATAAAGTTATATACTTTGCATCTTTCAGGTGTTTTTACCAGCGAAATTAAGGATATACAGGAGAGTGATGTCGTACTTTATATTCCAAACTTTACAGCAGCCGACAATGTTCATGAAAATTTATTTAACAGTATTGTAGAACACAAACGTCCTTTCAGGATAACAATTTTGGAAATCCCAACACAGGAGACGAAGTCATGTTCATTGAGAAATAGCACAATTTTCAAAAGATTAAAACATGTTAATCTTGACAAAAGTCGCAGGAACTTCCCTAATGAATTACTGAAAAGATTGCCAGCATGTGTATTAAAGGAGCAGAACAGCGTGGGTAGTGAAAGAGAGCAAAACTCTGATTCTGACGATATTACTCGAAACTGTGAGGGTTATCGGCTGGGTTATCACCTACCGTGTGCTTACACATATTGTTTTCGATCTTCACACGTGCATACCTGCAGCAGGTTACAGGAAGAATCGTCAAACATGATATGTCCAGAAACAAACCAGTGTGACTTGAGTTCTGCGACAAACTCTCAAAAATCTAATAAATCATTACCGCATTTTCTGAAACTGAATATGGCAGGAGGAAATCACACTTACAGAGAAATAACGTCACCGTGTATTGAATCCCCAGATACAGCGTCTACATAGTTGAGTCCTGATATTCATTGTAATTCAATTTAATTCGGTAATATTGCCACCATTAATGTATGAAATCATTTTGATCCCTATACATTATACTATGTTATTGTCCTTTCTGACACACACATTTCACAATTTTGTCGATTTTACAGATAAATGAGTTAATTGAAGTAATATTGAGATCAATGTGTGTATAATGTAATGATGCTACACCTTGTACTAATCAACTGTTCTTACAGCAGTCCTTTTTAACTCTGACAGTATAACAGTGAACACAATGATGTGTAGCTGTAAACTTGACCCAGAAATCCAAACTTTATTGCAAAATTGTTCACGTTTTAGCAAGAAAGTGTTTTTGACATCTACCACATCAATTTCGATATCAAGTGATAGTGATTTGAGCCAGAATTCAATGTATTGGAACAGGCCAAAAATTGTTAATGGGTAAATAATTTGAATGTCTTCCCTTTGACCGAAGAAAGACGTTGTTTTGGCCCTGGTTGTTATTGTTGTTGTAACTGTTATTGTCGTTATCTAACCCTAACCTACCTAAGAATCGTTAGAAACATCTTGGCGAAAACTTAAAGATACATGCATAATTCACACGTGGTGTGCCGTGCACTACAATTAGGTCATTGTGACCTTCACCTCGGAGTTTAAGGTCAATACTCAGTATACATGTATTCTTTTAAAATGTTAAAGATATCCTGGTGAGCTTGGAATGTGTCTGCAGCACAACAGTGCAATATAATTAGGTAATAGTGTTCTTCACCTGATGTAGAGAGGTCAAAGTTACGCTCGTTTTCAGTAATTTTTGTTTGGACCTTAACTTTTGAACCGATATAGATATCATAATAAAGTTTGAAACATACGTGAAACCTGAATTTTCACAATTGGTTCAGTCCGTAAAATTTTAAATCATTAGAGATACATGATAATAACATATTGATTATATAGTACATAATATTAATAAACACCTAAATGTCACCTGATTTTATGGCAAGGTCGTCAGGCCAGAGGTCTTAATGTTCGTTGATAAAAATTAACTGACATGTCACTTCATTTAGACATGGTAAAATGTGAAAATTGGAAATAGGCTATTGTCAAATGAAGGAAGAGAATTTGATTCCATGATTGGCATTACATATTTTGTAAACTGTTCGTCGAAAAGCTCCTGTACATTACATCGATACAATAGATTAAATTGTGAGATAACCAAAAGGAGACACGGATATGTTAAGCATGATTGAGGTATGTTTTGTCAACATTGTTTTAATGTTTGTTCTTGTACTATGCATGTAGTGTAAAACAAAACAAAACAATTCCTTTCCCATTACAGAATTAAAACAGATAATTATGAGACAGATTGGAAATTAATGTGGTTTTAGTGTGTATGTGGTGTCCTATGATACCATCTAAACTAGTGAATGCAAACAATCCTTCTTGTACAGCTTGTTAATAACAGTCCATAATATACACTTAAGGTACTTGTATTTTCTCTTCTGATATTGATAGTGTATCTTTGTTATTTCAAATCAAAGTCTTTGTCTGTACCCATACCATCAATGGTGTGTCTGTCGTTTAAATTAAAGGCTTTGTCTGTACCGATACCATCAATAGTGTATCTTTGTTGTTTAAATTAAAGGCTTTGTCTTTATTGATACCATCAATGGTGTATCTTTGTCGTTTAAATTAATGGCTTTGTCGGTACTGATACTGTCAATAGTGTATCTTTGTTGTTTAAATTAAAGGCTTTGTCTTTATTGATACCATCAATGGTGTATCTTTGTCGTTTAAATTAATGGCTTTGTCTGTATTGATACCATCAATGGTGTATCTTTGTCGTTCAAATTAATGGCTTTGTCTGTACTGATACCATCAATGGTGTATCTTTGTCGTTTAAATTAATGGCTTTGTCTCTACTGATACCGTCAATAGTGTATCTTTGTCATTCAAGTTAGATTATTTGTCTGTGCTGATACTGTCAATAGCGTATCTTTGTCTTTTCACACTAAATGCTTTGTCGGTATTGATACCGTCAAAGTGTATATTTGTCATTCAAATTAAATGTTATGTCTGTTTTCAAACCGTCTATAGTGTATATTAGTCTTTTAATTATATAGTGTATCTTCAGCTTAGTGCACTCAACTGTCTATGTTGTTTATTACCTATCATGTATATGCCCCTTACAATCGTTTTACATGAAATATCATCCATTCAACCATTCTTGTCATTAAAAATGCACAAGCGACAGAAACGGTTGAGTGTCCAACAAGCAGTTTTTTCATCAGTTGTTTCATGTGACGCCTCTCGTACTTTTTGTATTATACAGGTTCATTGTGACCTCTCTCCAGTGTTACAGTTCTCGGCAATATGGTAAAGAGTATCAATAATATCACTTTTACTCAAGTACAGCTGTATTTTTCATCATTCTGAACTTCACGGATCAATTTCCAGAATGTAATTTTTCTCATCCAAAATTTTGATACAACAAATTGTACATAAAGCTTTCATGCGCAGATGTACTGATAACATTAATATCTAAATATTACGCACACATATATATAAATTAATTATTACATTAATCGAAGTAATTTTATAAGTTACACACACATCTGATATAACTACAGTTACAGCTGTGATATAGATATACCTGTAAGTTACACACATCTGATATAACTAGTCACAACTATGATATAGATATACATGTAAGTTACACACATCTGATATAACTACAGTTACAACTATGATATGGATATGCATGTAAGTTACACACATCTGATATAACTACAGTCACAGCTATGATATAGATATACATGTAAGTTACACACATCTGATATAACTACAGTTACAGCTATGATATAGATATACATGTAAGTTACACACATCTGATATAACTACAGTTACAACTATGATATAGATATACATGTAAGTTACACACATCTGATATAACTACAGTTACAACTATGATATGGATATGCATGTAAGTTACACACATCTGATATAACTACAGTTACAACTATGATATAGATATACATATAAGTTACACACATCTGATATAACTACAGTTACAACTATGATATAGATATACATGTAAGTTACACACATCTGATATAACTACAGTTACAGCTATGATATAGATATACATGTAAGTTACACACATCTAATATAACTACAGTTACAGCTATGATATAGATATAGATGTAAGTTACACACATCTGATATAACTACAGTCACAGCTATGATATAGATATACATGTACGTTACACATATCTGATATAACTACAGTCACAGCTATGATATAGATATACATGTAAGTTACACACATCTGATATAACTACAGTTACAGCTATGATATAGATATACATGTAAGTTACACACATCTAATATAACTACAGTTACAGCTATGATATAGATATACATGTAAGTTACACACATCTGATATAACTACAGTTACAGCTATGATATAGATATACATGTAAGTTACACACATCTGATATAACTACAGTCACAGCTATGATATAGATATACATGTAAGTTACACATATCTGATATAACTACAGTCACAGCTATGATATAGATATACATGTAAGTTACACACATCTGATATAACTACAGTTACAGCTATGATATAGATATACATGTAAGTTACACACATCTAATATAACTACAGTTACAGCTATGATATAGATATACATGTAAGTTACACACATATGATATAACTACAGTTACAGCTATTATATGGATATACATGTAAGTTACACACATCTGATATAACTACAGTTAAAGCTATGATATAGATATACATATAAGTTACACACATCTGATATAACTACAGTCACAGCTATGATATAGATATACATGTAAGTTACACACATCTGATATAACTACAGTCACAGCTATGATATAGATATACATGTAAGTTACACACATCTGATATAACTACAGTCACAGCTATGATATAGATATACATGTAAGTTACACACATCTGATATAACTACAGTCACAGCTATGATATAGATATACATGTAAGTTACACACATCTGATATAACTAGTCACAGCTATGATATAGATATACATGTAAGTTACACACATCTGATATAACTACAGTCACAGCTATGATATAGATATGCATGTAAGTTACACACATCTGATATAACTACAGTTACAGCTATGATATAGATATACCTGTAAGTTACACACACATCTGATATAACTACAGTTACAGCTATGATATAGATATACATGTAAGTTACACACACATCTGATATAACTACAGTTACAGCTATGATATAGATATACATGTAAGTTACACACACATCTGATATAACTACAGTTACAGCTATGATATAGATATACATGTAAGTTACACACATCTGATATAACTACAGTTACAGCTATGATATAGATATACATGTAAGTTACACACACATATAACTACATGTAAGTTACACACATATATAACTACAGTTACAGCTATGATTAGATATACATGTAAGTTACACACATCTGATATAACTAGTCACAGCTATGATAAAAGATATACATGTAAGTTACACACATCTGATATAACTACAGTTAAAGCTATGATATAGATATAATTGTAAGTTACACACATCTGATATAACTAGTCACAGCTATGATATAGATATACATGTAAGTTACACACATCTGATATAACTACAGTTACAGCTATTATATGGATATACATGTAAGTTACACACATCACACACATGATATAGATATACTGTAAGTACACACATAATAACTACAGTTACAGCTATGATATAGATATACATGTAAGTTACACACATCTGATATACACACATACAGTTACAGCTATGATATAGATATACATGTAAGTTACACACATCTGATATAACTACGGTCACAGCTATGATATAGATATACATGTAAGTTACACACATCTGATATAACTACAGTTACAGCTATGATATAGATATACATGTAAGTTACACACATCTGATATAATTACAGTCACAACTATGATATAGATATACATATAAGTTACACACATCTGATATAACTACAGTCACAGTTTTGACAACTATGATATAGATATACATGTAAGTTACACACTCATCTGATATAACTACAGTCACAGCTATGATATAGATATGCATGTAAGTTACACACATCTGATATAACTACAGTTACAGCTATGATATAGATATACCTGTAAGTTACACACACATCTGATATAACTACAGTTACAGCTATGATATAGATATACATGTAAGTACACACATCTGTATAACTACAGTTACACACATCTGATATAACACACATATATAACTACAGTCACAGCTATGATATAGATATACATGTAAGTTACACACATCTGAAATAACTACAGTCACAGCTATGATATAGATATACATGTAAGTTACACACATCTGATATAACTACAGTTACAGCTATGATATAGATATACATGTAAGTTACACACATCTGATATAACTACAGTTACAGCTATGATATAGATATACATGTAAGTTACACACATCTGATATAACTACAGTTACAGCTATAATATAGATATACATGTAAGTTACACACATCTGATATAACTACAGTTACAGCTATGATATAGATATACATGTAAGTTACACACATCTGATATAACTACAGTTACAACTATGATATAGATATACATGTAAGTTACACACATCTGATATGACTACAGTTACAGCTATGATATAGATATACATGTAAGTTACACACATCTGTACAGTTACAGCTATGATATAGATACACACATCTGATATAACTACAGTCACAGCTATGATATAGATATACATGTAAGTTACACACATCTGATATAACTACAGTCACAGCTATGATATGGATATGCATGTAAGTTACACACTCATCTGATATAACTACAGTCACAGCTATGATATAGATATACATGTAAGTTACACACATCTGATATAACTACAGTTACAGCTATGATATAGATATACATGTAAGTTACACACATCTGATATAACTACAATCACAGCTATGATATAGATATACATGTAAGTTACACACATCTGATATAACTAGTCACAACTATGATATAGATATACATGTAAGTTACACACTCATCTGATATAACTACAGTCACAGCTATGATATAGATATGCATGTAAGTTACACACATCTGATATAACTACAGTCACAGCTATGATATAGATATACATGTAAGTTACACACATCTGATATAACTACAGTTACAGCTATGATATAGATATACATGTAAGTTACACACATCTGATATAACTACGGTCACAGCTATGATATAGATATACATGTAAGTTACACACATCTGATATAACTACAGTTACAGCTATGATATAGATATACATGTAAGTTACACACATCTGATATAACTACGGTCACAGCTATGATATAGATATACATGTAAGTTACACACATCTGATATAACTACAGTCACAGCTATGATATAGATATACATGTAAGTTACACACATCTGATATAACTACAGTACAGCTATGATATAGATATACATGTAAGTTACACACATCTGATATAACTACAGTTACAGCTATGATATAGATTACACACACATCTGATATAACTACAGTTA